TTATATCGCAGAGACTGCAATGATAAACGTTTAGCGCGCGATGTGAATCACGTAGAGCATTGAGTTTTATTGAGCGGATGGTTTGAATTCACGCATCAGGAATCATTAAATGTCCTCGTAAGGAGTTGATTTCGGTAATTTTTGTTGTGCGCATCGTGTTCTACGTGAAATTTTGGTGAAAAAACATGTATCAGAATGCTTAAATTCGTACCTTGTCTAGTGGTCCATTGACTGTATTTTTATACTTGTCCTGCTTTGATTTGGTTGAGCTTTCATTATATTAATTTTTTAAAATTTATGCTCTGAAATATTTTAAACAGAGTGATTTCATGAGGCCTCTTATGAAGGAACATTATGGCGCGGCGGGGAATTTTTTTGATGATACTATTTTAAGTCTCTTCGTTTTTTCCATAATTGTCACATAGAGAAAACATTATTTGAAACTGTGTAAGCTTGCAACCATGGACTAATTGACTTATCGTACGACAATCTAGTTCCCTCAGTTATTACCCGAGATAGGGTCGAGAGCAATGATTTTGCGAATGTGAAAAATTATGTTGAGCCTCTTTAGGAAAGAGATGAATCCCAGAGCGGAATTTAAACAGGTTTCCTGATGGAAATCAATCTAAAGAGTACATTTGAGTCTATAAAAGATTGAGAAGAACAGTTACATAAAGTTTCAAACTACTCTTTTCGTTTCAGTCCGACGAGCTAATGAACCTATTACTGATTGAAAAAGTCATGTTCTTGAAAAATCCCAAAAATAAGATGTGCCCTCTAACTTTTTATGGATTTCCATGTCGTGATAAGCACATACATTTCTGCACGGAAAGAATATTTTATGGTGGAAAATTTTTAACACACTTTGAGACGTAGAATGAAGTGTATTTGGTGATATTTTTTTACGCGAATCAGCGGTTATTATTTAGTTCATCGGTGGAAAAACAAAAGCTCAACCGATGTTCACAGTTCATAGTATTATGGGTATCATCCGATTAAATCTTGTAATAGAATCTATTTAAGATATTAAATAAGAGAGCTCACAAATGTTCCCGGATAATCGTATTTAATCTGGAAAAAATTGGTTACGCTGGAGTGATAACACGACGTTTTCACTTAAAGCTTCGATATTGAAATTTGAACCGAGGAAAATGATGCCGGTGATAATGCCTGATACAACTATTTGTGCTCCATGGACATCCGTGTTTCGTGTTAAAAATTGAAGGCGTTCGGTCATTTTTGCCCATAAAGCAGTGCTCGTAGAGATACGCTGTCACGACTCGGTGTGTCGGTGAGATATAAGTTCTTGGTATGTAAAAATTTTGCGACAATATCCGTTCCTGTACTTTTCCCTCAGTTTTTTGCTTCATGGACTCGAGTAACCAGACCGCCTTCCATTTTTCCATAGGCAGCACGCGCGTCCATAGAGTACGAATAGTTGTATCAAGGTGTTCTTATCAACATGAAGAAATGCGTGTTTCTGTTAACTGAGAATTATAACCATGAAAAGCTCCGCCACTGTTGTTCCACTGAAGTGCCGTTAAAAAAGATTAAATTTGAAAATGTTAATATTTTAATGCTGTTTGGAAAAAAAATTTGATCGATCTGTTTTTTTTTTTAAAAAAAAAAAATTCCTGATGCCCAATTTTATCAGTTGAAGTTACTCGGAGATTAAAACTGATGTTAACTTTACGCTCTGACGATCTAGCTTTACGAACCAAGATACAGCTCTGTCTTTTTACTTTCCACGTAGGTTAAACTGGTATAATCCTAAGCGAGAAAGGGGGAAATTCGGGCTTAAACATAAATCTTTGTTGTCATGGCACTGTTACATCATATTTCAAAAAAGGGTGATATAATATCAAATTTTAAAAACATAATATTATTTGATTTTAAATTGCACGGCAACTAAAAGGCAGCAACATAGGGTCAAAAATTATGTTGGAATTGGTTCTTGGCTCAAAAAAATTGCATACCCAACATAATTGTGGAGTGTTAAGTTGCAAGTGCTCCCAACTGAATAAAGTGTGCGCTAGGTAAGAAATGAAGTCTGTGGACAGTTCTTAATAGTTGGATTAATTATGAGCCACCTTGACTCTTCCCTTTATTTTCATTTCTACCCGATGAGGACGCCAGATCTACTGTCGCACTGCGGAGGTAGGCTAAATGAGTTGATGCTAACTTTATTATGCGTGTATATACATCTCTTTGCCAATTCTAAATTAGGCGGCACTTTTCCTGATCTAGTCTATTCTCGCAGTTTTTGCAACTTTGTTTTTCTATTCTGTATTTTACAAAACGAGCCATGTTTAAGCTTTCAGCCTCGCATAGAACATAGAACGAGCAAAGAAAGTATTAACCAGTTCGCGATCCGTCAAAAGTTTAAAAAAAAATTAGTGGCAATTCCTGGTGATTAACTTTCGTGACGAGCTATGATTCTTGTAGTGTAAAAGTTTAACTAAGTAAAAAATTGCACTGGTTGTGATCCAAAAGTTCTGATGGACTGCGTTCGATGTTTATAAATCAAATACTTTAATTTGATTGCAGCAGTAGAATGGTAACAAACGGTAATCGAAACTGGACGTATTTATACTGCATGGAACTATATGCAAGTGGAAAGATTGGGTATGCTCATTAGCGGCTCACGAGTTAGCGCTCAGTTCTTTTTGATTTAATGTCAAATCCCGTTTTTCCATTTTCTCAAAAGGAACTATAGTCACTTTAGGATTGTTTCTTGTCCAGCTCACCACGAGCATGCCCTATCTATCCACTTGCACATAGTTCCTTTCAACATGAATATGTCCAACTGAGGTTTAACCAGAAGTTAGACAAACGTTAAGGCTTTTTCCAGAACTGATTCACTCCAATATAATCATGTCAACTTGTGGCAAGACGGAACATCATCGCAATCACTTTCAAACCACCAAAATGGATCTTCTCTTCCGCCTCTTCCTCACGTGTTTCCGGTTGATAGGGATGGACGAGCTGTGGGCCGTGTCCCGCGCGTACCCGAACAAATACGGCCTCGCGAACGTCTCCACATCGGGGAAAGGCTCACCCCTCGGCGGGTACCAGGATCCGGATCTATGACCATCCCCCGAACGCCCGAACCAAATCGCGGGGAACAGCCACGGGAACAAGAACGCGAACATGCTCAGCCCGCTCGTCAGAATGATCGACAGCGGCGCGAACATCATCGACCAGAACGTGAACCCGATCGGGTTCAGAATATTCATTCCGCCGAAGATGGATGCAACGTAGTCCATGAGCGACATATCGCCGTCATCCCCACCGGCCGCTGCCACCGTTGTCGGAAGGGCTGCGGCAGCGCCGGTTTGGTCAATGGCCACTCCGCCACCTCCCCCGCCNCAACGTTGCCTCCACCGATCGCCCCGCCTCCACCACCGCCGCCGCCGCCGGAGGCGGCGGCGCCTGCGACCGCGCCAGTGGCAGCGCCAACAGCCAGACCGGCGGTTGCTCCTGCCGCCACGCCTGCAGCAGCACCAGCTGCCACTCCGGCTGCAGCGCCTGCCGCTACACCTGCAGCACCGGCTGCTGCTAATGCGCCCGCCCCGAGACCTCCCCCGGCACCTGCAGCACCTGCGGCACCTGCAGCACCTGCGGCACCAGCGGCTCCTGCGGCAGCTGCACCAGCAGCTGCCGCTCCCGCCCCCGCTGCAGCGGCACCTGCTGCTGCAGCACCCCCTGCAGCAGCGGCGGTGCCCAAGGCACCGGCCCCTGCACCACCTCCTGCAGCACCACCCACAGCATCGTCCTCAATTACCCCTCCGGCAATCTCCTCAAGCGACTGATCACTTGGCGTCCCTATAACAAGGATAGCCGGGGATGGCTGGCCGTTGAAACCGGTTATGGGGTTCAAAGGACTAACATCGTCCGTTGACGGGAGGAAATTCACCGGTACATTCACCGGTTCGATAAATGTCGGGCTTTCTCCGTAGTGATGGCTTGGCTTGGTCTGCTCGATCGGCCATTCTAGAGGTAGATCTGGTTTTGGGTAATCGTAGCTCGGTGGGCAAATTGTGGTGGAACTTGAAGGGTACGGGAGAGCCGTCGTGCTTTGCTCGATTGCGTTGTTGACCACAATCCCCGCGGTAGAGAGGGTTGTGCTGTATGAGGGCGGGTACGAAACCGGTTCTTGGTGGCCGTTTATCTCGACGTTGGGTTTAATCGCGCCGTGGAGGGTATGCAACAAGATTAACTCGTCTAATGACTCTGGCAGCACGGGTTTCTCTATGAGCGGGGATTTTAGCGCTGGTATTGACGTTTCGAAAAATTGTTGCACGATCTCGTCATCCGGGGTCCTAGCAACAACTGACGTCGCTCGGTTCCTGATTCTTTTGATTCTCGAGCTGACGGAAATTGGAATCCACTTGGTGTCATCGTCAGGAGAACTCAATGTTCTTGGCTTTCGACGCTGTGTGTTGTTGCGAAATGGTTCGGAATTTTCGAGGTGCAACACTGATGGTATTGCTGAAGCAGCCAGTTTCAGATTTAAAACTATACAGCTACTTGATTCATTTTTCAGCCTAATTACGGCAACCGTGTCGTGTTCGTTTAAGACTCTCATAAAAAATGTGCAGGATTTCTGTCCCCGCGTTTGATTTTTGTCTTTTCGACTGGTGTCTATCGTTTTAAAATGGCCACAAGTGCAACGGTATACGTCTCTATCAGGCAACGCTCTGCAGTTTCTCAGGTACCATTTGAAAATAGCAAAGAGCGTAGCTAGGCGCGGTTTAGCTTTGCTGATTCTATACTTATCAATTATCTCAAAAAACCTACTTAAATTCCCGTTATTTTCAGTCTGAGATTTGTTCGCTAGGATGAGCATCTCTGATATGGCTGAGTCGTTGAGAATGAAATTGAAAAATGACTTCATCTCGGGACTGAATGTGAAGTTTTTGGAATTTTGCCTACTTAACACAGCCTTGCATTTATTGTCGGTGCCGTTGTGTAAAGAGTACGATTCTAATGTAAAATACCTGTTATTTGATCCGGAGGAGTTAACTTTTTCGTGTAAGTTAACTCTCTCTACTTTTTCAACGATGCCAACCCCTGAAACAAAGTAGACATAATAAAAGTTAATAAATTTCTTTAAGATTTTTTTAGAATGCAAGATTACATTTGTGATAGGATCTATGAAAGAACACTTTAGCTGCCGGGAGAAAATTGCCCAGAAGAGCAGAATTTAGAAGAAAAAGTCAAAATCAGCGATTTTGAGTTCGCTACGGAGGTTCTCTTGAAGCCTTAGGAACAAGCTTCACGCAATTTTTATTTAATTTTCTCACCTTAGATGGCACTAGCTACTTTTTTCATGTGTGTTTGTTGCAGTTCTAAACCTAAATTGGCCGTATTTCTATCAAACGGAACTAAGCGCCATGGTTATAGGACATTTCGTCAACGATTTTTTGTCCACGCATCTGTTTTTTCCAGTAATTTACGTCCACGCGTTTTTTCGGCAGGGGAGTTTTGGTCCACGTGCCAATTGAGACCCAAAGTTAATTGACCCACATGTAAATACAAACGACAATTCCTCACGACGTTTTTGGATGAAAATATATAATGTCTTGGAAGAATGAGGGTTTGCTTGTTTTTTTGTTTTGTCTGTTTGGTCCAACGGAGAATAATAAATAGTTGAGAGTTTTGGTAAAAATGGGGAAGCGTCAATTCCATGAGACAAAATTCACTAAAACTCTCTACACCTCTTTGGTGTAACAGGACTTAATTATCTTTCAAGAAATTCCCATCTTGTTATACCTGAACCGGATAAACCTCTATATTTGCCTCAGCTAAAGGCTCTTAGATTTTTCCTGTGTACGATAAGTATCTTGATTTATTTTGCGAGGAAACATCTGTACTTTTAAAGGATGCCTGTCATTCTTAATACGTTCAATTTCGTATATTACTGTGCAACACCTCTGTTGTGAAATAGTTGCTTCAGGAGCCGCCGCACGGCGGGCGGGCGGCCAGCGCGAAACGGCGCCTACAAACCTAAGTGGATACTTCAAGTATTGCGCAATGCGTGAAGTATCCACTTAGGTTTGTAGGCGCCAGTGAGCCTCTCGCGCTGGCAGCAAGCGCGCCGCTCCGCTCTGTTCGGCTTTAATATTTATACTCGCATAGTCAGCGTTTTGTAACTCATGATTTTGAAATGTTAGCACACTCTGCATTGATTATTCTCATTTAAATTGATGGGAAAAAATATTTATCAATTTCAAAGGAGAATAATACTATAATGTGTGTTTTTTAAATATTGATGGTTCCAAGTCAAATTTCATAATTTCCAAAGCACTTTAATTTTTTCTTTTACATTTTGTGATTTTATTTTTCTGCAGCGAAGTGTATGCGCAACGAAATGCTTGAAATTTGACGTATTTGACTCTAACAGATCGATGTACAAATGGGTTAAAACTAAAGATTGTTTTTTTTCCCCTCTTATATTCATTTTTGCAGTCTCTGTCGGCACAACTGCGGCTCATTGAGATTAATGTCGCTTGGAAAAGGTTTTACAAATATTTGTCACATTTTAAAAATATTAATGTTTCCAAAATTAAGTAATAATTTCGTAAAGAAAAAAATAAAAAAAATACCTATACATACATTATATAAGGTATATTGTACATTCAATATTTTAAGGATAGAAATAAAACCAAATATTCACCAATGACAATTTAAAAATACGATTCAAAAGGAGAAAGTAATAACATTTTAATTAGAAAATGAGCAACCATAACAACACATCCTTCTCTCTCAATTTCTCATTTCCATATTGTCAATATAATTTTACATACCGACTAAAATATAATGCTTGGACCAAGTCACTGTTGCTTATTTTACATGTGGGCGTAAACTACTCGACAAAAAGGCGCGCGGACAAAAAATCGTTGACAAAATGTCCTGAAACCAAGCGCCATATGGGGAGGAAGGGAGAGAGGGGCTTGGATTGGCGGGTGTTGCGGAACGCGATGCTCGTTTCGTCCTATACTCGCAATGCTTTTCCATGGCGCCTAGTTCCGTTTTACAGAACCCGCTATCCGGGATGTTTAAATCCTCAAAAGGAACTCAATTTGGCTCTTAGTTCCGTTTAACAGAAATACGTCCAATTTTACCTAAAACTTAAGAATTTCTGTCTTGAAACTTCAGAAAGTCATATCTCTCTCAATTGTTGATCTATCGGGGTCAAATTTGCGACAAAATGTCCAAGTCTTCTTTCTCTATGCAGTTGTGCCAATACAGTGGACTCTCGATAATTCGAACCTCGATAATTCGAAAACCTCGTTAATTCGAGGGAAAGTCTGTCTCCCTTGAAAATCTCTCGATAATGAGCTTGTTAACCTGTTTCTAATTCTTGCATTTTCAGAAACTGCATTGTCTCCTGATCACGCAGTAATTTTTTCAGATTTTTTCGAGCCGTTTTTCCCTCCGAAATCGACTTTTGAAGTTCGAAATTTTAAAATGCCGCGTTTGCCCGCGCTTTAGCGGCAATTCAATATGGCGCCGGAATTACCCCCTGGCTTTCTTGCCACACATTCGACCGGGCGCCGTCAGCGGGACCTCTACGCGTTCGAATATCGAGGCTAATCAAAACAACCAACTGGCTGTTATCAATTTCATCTTCTGACAAAGATTTCTCTAGTTTTTCGCATATTTTCTGAACTGTTATTTGTTCAACTAAAATATCTAACCCTGCTTTACGAATATCTCGACCTGCAATCTCCTTGAAACGTTGGGAAATCCGGAAATAGCTTCCAAAACTGTGTTAGTTATATGTGTGTGTCCCTATCATTTAAGTATCTAAAGGCTTGGTTTTTCAGTTGAAATCACCGTGTTTTCGGTGTTGGGGTTAACATTGCACACGATTTTTACAGTGTTTGTGTTAGTCAAAATATACTTATAAGTGTTCTTCTAATGATACATTTTCTGCGGTTATACATAGATTCTTGCACTTGCAACCATTGGGTAATCAAACAATCTTCACATTGGACGGGCTTTATGCTGCTAGAACATCTGATACCAAGCACTTACTCTAAGATTTTTCCTCCTTTCTTGCGAGTGTTAAAGTCAGTAATCTGTATATTTGCTCATTAAGTACCTCTACTTGTATATCCACATAATCTTTCCGTTGCTGTTGTGAATACTTCCTCATGACCAACTCCCTTTGAAGTCTGATAGTGTAGTAAATTATGCTTCAGTTATCTGAGCATTTATTTACTAAAAAATCAGTTCAAAGGAATTTTCTTCGACATGGATCTCCATTCTACCCTGGAACTGTGTGTGCCGGCACCAACAGACCCTTCGGCAAAAGCCGTTAAATCCTGAAATTGAAAGGTACGTACCAATAATGTTCAAACTAGAACAGAAGTAAATTTGCTCCAACGTGCACATGACTTGTTTTAAATTCTTTGGAACATATGTAGTTTTCTCATAAAAAATGTTTGCAATGTGCAATGAATGTAATATCCAGTAATTGAAAATCACAAAAAATGTAGCAAGTGTTAATTCGAAGGCACACCAAGGTATTCTCTTATCACTGGATTGACATGGAAACCTGAGGTCTCCATTTCACAGCAGAAATGTCTAGGTACTGATCAAATTATGAGTCGAAGAAAATTTGTCTAGATTTTCCTTCAGCACACCCATGAAAACCCTTAAAATCAATTATGTAGATGGATACGCTAGCCAACAAATTCATGTGATTGCAATATTTTAAAGTGGATGCCTCCAGTTGGTAGATTTTCTCACCTCATTTTACTGTCACCATTATCTTTTTTTTGTCTCAATATTTAATTCAGTTGCTTTTTCATAATGATATTTCAAGGATAAAGAGCCTTATGTATTTCATTTCAATAAAGAATTTGCAAGAAAGAGGGAAGAACAACCACACGGATCGTCCAGAGGTGAGTTTACCTGTTCAATATCTCCTAAACTGAGATAGGTACTTCGAGAAAATCTGTAATAAACTTTAAAAAAGCCAATACTCTGGGCTCTCTAACGCGCCATAGATTTTTAAATTTGGCTTGATAGAACTCTAGAAAAGTGGCTTTTTCTGAATCCACCTCCTCTCCGCACAGGTCCAAAATTTTACAGAGCCTCATTCGCAAATGAGCCACTGTGTCTATCGCTAATTTTGAACCCATGCGGAGAGGAGGTGGGTTCAGAAAATCCCACTTTTCTAGAGTTCTATCAAGCCAAATTTAAAAATCAACAGCGTATTAGAGAACCAGGGTAGTGACTTTTCAAAGCTTATTACAGATTGTCTCTACCTATCTTCATTTAGGAAGTATTTAACAGGTAAACTTACTTTCTGGACGACTCTTACTATCCGCCATTAGAAACCATATACTTAGGTAATTGAAATTGAGAAGGGAACTTACAAAGTAGTTAGCTACTCACCTTTCATCTTCAGGATTTTTAATAACATCCATTTATTCAGAGTCAGGGCATGCATCTTCACAAAATTTGTATGTAGTTCCATGTCGAAGAATGTAACTTAAAACTGACTTTCTGGTAAAACGCTCAGCATAGTGAGCCATTGTTTACCAAAAAAAAATCAGGTTCAAAGTGAGTCAAAGTCATGTGGAGGATGTGATTACGTAGAAAATGAGTGGATGAGAAATTGAGATTAAATCACTGATGTTATATCTTGCATTGAGATAAACTATCAAAGAATGGCACATACTAGCAATTCACAATATACCTGTTAATAATTATGGAACACTGAACAGTTTAATAAGTTTACGGTCCCAGAATAGAAAATTGTCGAAGGCTATTTATTCTTGGGTGGCTTCCTAAGAGTAAACAAGTGATACCTACATGTAATATATTGTGGATATTTCTTTAAAGAGAGCCATTAAGGGAAGGACATTCGATTACTGATTCTATTTAGATTGCTGTAAATGAGAAGTAGGAACTTTCTCCAAAATATTTACTTCCCGAAACAAAGCGCGAGGCTTCGCATCATGAAGCTTCGGCATGGTCAATAACAGTGTCAGGATTTGACCGGCCGATCTGTTGTTGTTTCTGGAGTTTAAACAAAAACTATTGCAAAAACATATGCACTCAACATTTTCAAGAAGAATTATTCCCAAATTCACTTCACTACCATGGAAACTCAGTATCTCAGTGTACTGAAATGACTAAGTAGACTAGCACAAATTTGGTCAATATTTTCGGATTTTCCAACGTTCCAAAGAGATTGCAGGTCGAGATATTCGTAAAGCAGGGTTAGATATTTTAGTTGAACAAATAACAGTTCAGAAAATATGCCAAAAACTAGAGAAATCTTTGTCAGAAGATGAAATTGATAACAGCCAGTTGGTTGTTTTGATTAGCCTCGATGTTCGAACGCGTAGAGGTCCCGCTGACGGCGCCTGGTCGAATGTGTGGCAAGAAAGCTAGGGGGTAATTCCGGCGCCATATTGAATTGCCGCTAAAGCGCGGGCAAACGCGGCATTTTAAAATTTCGAACTTCAAAAGTCGATTTCGGAGGGAAAAACGGCTCGAAAAAATCTGAAAAAATTACTGCGTGATCAGGAGACAATGCAGTTTCTGAAAATGCAAGAATTAGAAACAGGTTAACAAGCTCATTCGAAGAAAATCAATGTATTTTTCTCCCCTCGTTATTTCGAAATTTTTAAGCTGGCGCGGCCCTCTATAATTCGAAATTGCTACGAAAATTCTCTCTGTAATTCAAAGTGTGGGAAGTAAATATGGCCCTCCCTCTATAACTCGTAATAAGACGGTACATTCCCTCTACAATTCGAAGTCAACTGTTTATGTATACCTGGGTGTCTGAAAGAGCTTGACCTTTGACCTAAAGATCTTTTGGCGTAAATCCGTCCATTTGCCCCTCTATAATTCGAATTCAGATGGCGCCTTCCCTCTATAATTCGAACCTCTAGAATTCGAAATTTCTCCACATGGAATTTCTTTAATTCGAACTCTCTTTATTTCGAAACCTCGCTAATTCGAATAAAAAGCCGATTCCCTTCAATTTCGAATTATCGAGAGTCCACTGTATCTGATTCCGAAGCAAAATGCATCCCATCTCTGAGGGGCTGATTATCTTTTCCGCACAAAGTACATTTGTGACAATTTTTCCGATAATCGTTGCCGCACAAAATCATTTTCGCGCAAATCATTATCTGTAGTATGTGGCAACGCCGAGAAAAATGTGAGGCATATTTAAGAAAAATTAATGCACAAAGATTGAACACATTATTGATGTTGTCAGATGTTTGAGATCTGATTTGTGCGAAAATGATTTTGTGCGGCAACGATAATCGGAAAAATTATCACAAATGTACTTTGTGCGGAAAAGATATTCTGCCTTCTGAGGGGTCGTTCGTGGAGTACGTCACGCTGTAATACGGTAATCCTGCGTCACTTGTCACCCACCCATCGCGCAGATTGCAGATCTGTATCCCCTGAACAATTACTTCTCGCTTTTGTAAGACATGCAGCCCCTCCCCATTCAGACAGAAAAATGCGCGCTTTTTGTCGATATGTTTTTGAAACTATCAAAATTCATTCCTGAAAACTGGAACTTTTCATAAATCACCCCGTTTACGCCAACTTCTACGCCTCGTTCAAGCTCACTCCCTCCCTCTACCCCTCCCCCGTCCCATACTCATATGATAAAATGTCATCCATCACGCTTAACTGGACTGAGTTAAGCAGAAAGGAACCAACCCACATTTTGGACAAAATTGAGTTATGATACTCAACCACTGCTCTACTATCTATAGCCAAAAATTCTAAGTTTTTGTTGGAGCAAATTTTGCAGAAATTGAACTTGAAGTTAATTTTTTACATTGAGTCTCATGCAGGAGCCAAACTGTAAACCTATTTTTCTCGGTTCGATCCCGATGTGGCTTGGTTCCTTTCTGTTTAACTCCGTCCAACTATACCCTCCTCCCCTTCTGCCAGAACTAGAGTCCCTTTATACTGCATGAGAGCAAAGACAATGCGAATCCATTTCTAACTGGTTCCCGCGTTTTAGGCCTTCACAGTGTCACAAACGGGAATAAAGAGTTCATTTTCACCAATTGCAAAGATTATAAACTGAAATGAACCGGCGCATTGGAGGCATGGCAAAAAACAAATGGAATGAGAGAGGGAACGAAGACAGGAATTCGGGAATGGGTCGATCAAAGATTACAAAAAACATTCGATTTGTGTAATCATTATTCCCGTATGTGACATCCATAAGCTGCGTTGTCTCGACTTTCTCTATAAAGATACTCTGGCCAGAACGTGTGGTAGTTTGTAAGCGGCTTCCAGGCTTCATTTTGAAGAGGCTCAACCTTGTTAGATAGTACAAATATTCAATGTTAGATAAGCAGAAAAGAGGGAGAATGGTTATAGAGGAAAGTGTGACATAAGTGATTGATTCACCTGAGATTGGCTGGCCGTTGGCTTGCGGTCGCGCTCGCACAGAATCGAATGATAAAAAAATCGCGAGGACCGGTAATAAACCGGAAAGGCTCTTCATTGTTTCACCACGCTAACCCTGAAACAGAAAACAAAAGTTCCCATCAGTCATTGTTTTACAATCAGCAGGAAGAAGTAGGCCAAATGCGGAGTGAGTGAAATGCAGCACGGAAAAAACGACTCTGCGTCGGTGGCAATAAACTGGTGTGTCGCATTTTGAGGAAAAATGAGATGAGGGTCTTCTTAAATTTTAAATTTTCTCTCATGAATTCAAAGATAGTAAAAACATTTTGAAAATGGAACATTTTCGTTAAACTCTGTCCTTGTGCCATTGAATCTCGTGGGGGAATAAATCTTCAAACCTTGCTTCTTGTTTCAAACTTGATGCAACTTATTTCATCGTTTCCCCATCCCAAGGTTGCAAAATCGAATAAAAAAATTCAATTTTTAACGAAAATGTACATGTGCACTTTTTCCCCAAAATGTTTTCAAGTTTTGCCCAAGAGCAGAGAATAATCAGGGAAATTTTCGGTTAGGAGTGCCCAAGATTCTCTTGGTAGAAATATACAATTTGCGTGAGAAATTTGGCAGCATGGGATGGTAGTTACGTTCCTTCGTGAGGTAAACAACGATCAGGACTGCATTTTGCTATTGGAACCATAAATTCTGGTTCATCTGAAAAAACACGTATAGGCATAGGGAAACTAATGGCACATACGTTGTTTTTAAACCGTGCCAGAATTTATAGTTCCAAATTGCAAAATGCGTTCCTTTTGGTTACATTGAAATGCAGTTACGTTCTTTTATGATTAGAACGACGATTTGGAGTGCATTTTGCAATTGGGAACTATAAATTCTGGCTAATCTGAAAAAACACTTACGTGCATAGGGAAACTAATGGCACATACGTTGTTTTTAAACCGGGCTGGAAGCTATAGTTCCAAATTGCAAAATGCAGTCCATCTGTCGTACGGATATTTTTTAATCCGATCAAGACTCCTTATGACAAGCGCAGCTGACCCATTAAAACGAGGTATGTTAAGTTGATAACTTTTCTGTCTTGAGGAGGAGATTTTTTCCTCTGACGAATTGACACCGAGGTATACAACGTGGACTTTCAAATAAATCACTGGGACGTCCCGGCGGAGTTATGCGGAAAGAAGCAAAACTCGGCCATGCGGCACGCCTCGTAAACTTGGGCGGTGAGTCATTGGAAGTTCGGAATTTCTCAGAGGATTTCGAGGACCCGGCTGGCTTCTTTTATTCTAGTTGGCAAGATCCAGAGGTTGCCCCGCAGGTTCTTGCTCGTGGCTTGTGCCTCTTCGTCCGTCCGTTAGGTTATGTGACCGATTCGTATTCTGCCGTGCTAAGTAAGAACGCCGTATGTGCCATCAGACGTTGCCAAATTTTCTTCAACAAATCACGAATTTTCCGGAAAATTTGTGAATATTTCTCCTTCGATTTTTCACAGGATGTCGTTTGCAATTCGATCTAAAGTCTAAAAATTTCAATGTGAAATATTCAACAATTTCTTCAAGAATAAATATTTTCAAAGCAGAAATTGGGCGAAATTCAAATGCTTATTTTCACCTAGCACGGCAGTATTCGATAACGCATGCTGGCACTGCAAATTTTACTCAATGGGTGGACGATTCCGATGTTAGCCGAGATAGACATCTCCTTTAGGAAGTAAGGGAAACACATTCGAGGAGAGGAGATTCGATCCGTAAAAAAAAACTTTTTCATTTTAAAGAGACTCAAATAGTTTCGTCTCAGAAGATTTTTCTAAATCTAGATCTTCATGTTCGGCAAAAATTACAATTAATTTGCTACTAGGATTCCTATGGAGTAAGAGACGTTCACAAATCTCAACTTTTTATTTTGTTTTGCGAGTAAACTCAATAAATATTTCCAGAAAAGTAATGTCAAGTGCAGGTATCTGAATGTCACAAAAGATCATTATTGTGTAAATGATTTTTGCTCATATCGGATATCCGATAAGGAGTGGTCACTTCATGAAATGGTTTACATTTCTTGGCAGCATTTAAGTCTCCAAATTTTGCTGTGTGTCCCGACTCATTAAGGCGTTGCATATAAAATCTCTAAGTCATAATTTGAAATTTGCAATGTAATTTTTATTCCCGTGTGTGACATTACGGCCGAGATCTAAACTACGGAAACCGCAATCAGAATAATTGGATTCGTATTGTTTTTACTCTTAGTATAAAGGGACTGTACTTGGAGTAACTTAAAATACTTAAAATACACTGGAAAAAAAAACACATCGGATCTAGAGTCCAGACTCTTGAAAACATTGACCAGAAAAAGGACTCTTGATTCAATCAAAAAGCTTAAATTAAAAGGAAATCCGCTCAAATTAAGAGGCTTGGTTCTCGATGTAAGCTTAAATCTGATTGAATCAAGAGTATTTTTTCTTGCCGATGTTTTTAAGAGTCTGGACCCTAGATCCAATGTTTTTTTTTCCAGTGTTTAAAAGACGTTTGTGCTACTTTGTCCGATATTAGGTCTTTTTTTATCTAGATTTCCTGGACTACAGGAAATTATCAGCATTGCAGAATATACTTTGCTTCGAAATCTTGGAGAAGATGGCTTTTGCTCCGATCGTGTTAACCGCGCTCATTCTTACAGGTGTGGACTTATTTTGCTGAGATGAAAAAAACCAGGGAAGAGAATGAGGACACCGGGCGAAGAATCATACCGTGGCGCAGGAAAGCGACTCTTCATGAAGAATCAACACGCGACACATGGCAATGGCGTGCACCTAATTCTTAATTGAGCCTAATTTACCCCCAGCGCAGCGCATCGCGGTGTCAATGCCGGTGCCGGTGCGACACTCACCCGCTCCACGACACACTCCAGGTGTCGCCGTCTGGCCGCAACCCGTGTGACGACCAAGCCACTCTAACGGAGCATCCTAGACCAAGACGTCGTACTCCTGACGTAAGGTCGTATCTTAGTTTTAACGTGAGCTGTGTTATGCATATAATCCCTATGCTTCCTGGGGCTCATGAAATAATCAAGATACGCCCTTGTGCCAGAGAAGTGGCGATAAGGTGATTTTTCCCAAGGTCGGCTCACATGGCACACAAGCCCGACCACATTTTGGCCGTCTATTTCTAGCTGGTCGAATCCAGCAGATAATGTGTTGAGGAGCAAGAAAATTAGATTACAGAGTTATTAGGACTTGCGCTCTTTAAAAGAGTTGAACACAACGTTGGGCGAATATTCACCACGTTTGTATGATTAAGATACGAAAATAGACTGATTTAGTGGCTACGTGGTTCAAACCACGAAAAAAAAAACCCCCTCGTGTGCAAATTCTGCACAAGCTAATTGTGTTAACTCATTACAATTGAGCCATTGACAGGTCATAAATGGACGCGCTTAAATCAAAGAGCACAGTATCCATTCTGACATGAACCTTAAAATCTATAAAGGTACATGCATGGCAGGGCTCATGCCACAATGGATATTGTTCTTCTGATTTTAATGCATCCTAATCAATTAAGGATTTATTGCACGAGAGGTTTTAACTGCAAGAAACACTTGGACACATTTTACCACCGTGACGCAAAGGGTGCGAATCTGAGACAAGGCTATACGTGTATTTTTTTACAACTGGAAGTATTTGTGCTAAAAGGAATTATGTCACATACGAGCCCTATGCACATAGTCCCTTTTAGCATAAATACGTCCTATAAAACCATGACTTGGCCATTAAATCAGAGCGTAGACCACAAGACGAGTTAAGTCACCGTAGGTCAAATCAGCTATTAAAACAACCAATACTGTAATTTAGTATCTAACTCTTTAGAGAATACGATTTGTTTTAGTCGTCCAATTATTCATGTCGAACAGCCTGAAGTTTCCTTGATGAGGAACTTTTTTAACGGAGAAAAACCGAAACAGTGTGGACCTATTCATGATTCTTTAGCTCTGGATGGCAGGGCTCTCAGTCAATTTGTCGAGTCCAAGTGACCTCAGGCTGGGATCGACCGGCGGAGCCAACAATCGAGGAATACGTCCGCGTGATGTCACTGATTAAGCTGTCCCGCGTGGAGTAACGGACTGAAAATACAGACCTCAGACCCCCTCTCGCCTCTCCACTCTGTCAAATTGGATCGATATAGCAGACTGGCAGTGTAGTAAATTTGAGCCGAAAACCAGGGGGGACACTTGAAGGAAATCGGCCGGTTCCGAATTTCGTCTGCTGGCAACTCAGGAGGAATGACAAGTGTGAAGTTTGCACTGTCAAGGTGAGGACATCTTACACAACCGCAGCCGTTATTCGTTAACGCGTCCACTTCGTGTCTCATCTACGAAGTCAGGTGAGGTAATGCGATTTGACTTGCTTAAGTTTCATTCCGAGTTGCAGCTCGCAGATCAGCCGATTTAACTTTCCTCCGCGATCAGTTCGACGCTTGCGGACAAATAAACGCATCTGCACCGAGTTAATCTGAAAGAAACCAACCCTCATTTTTAAAGAAGTTGAGTCAAGAATATTTTTGAGTTCCACTAGCTGTACGTTTTCTCCTACCGAATACTGAAAGTCGAAAAACAGAAATTAGTTTGTGAAAAGAGGGGTTACAGTTTATATTTTCTACATTGAGCCTTATGCACGAATAAAACTTGAAACATCTTTTTTTTTTTCAGTTTCAGCTTCATGTGGGCTGGTTCCTTTCTAATGAACTCGGTCCATTTCAACGTTGGAATCTTTTCATTTGAGAATTGTAGTTCGCTGAGAAACTGTTTGACATCACCAACTCAAACTTTCCCCGATTTGCCCATCGCGACACGAAAAAATCTGACTGAAATCTGACTGAAATCGCGAATTCTGGACTGAAATTGCTCGGTCGTGTTCTTGTGAAACATTGAAGTTCTTCAGTCAAGTATGCATCCTTGGCATTAAGTTACGTTCCTTTGTCTGGGAAACTATACGTGAGTTCTGAGACCTAAGACACCATTGGGTGTTACTTGACAGGAAAAAAGAACTGCGGGTCGATTGTTGAATCGTTATCGATTGAACTCGATCGATAAATCCCTATCTTAGCAATGCTT